TCTCTTGGAGTTCTTTGGGCTAAACCTGACATCAATCTCGCCAGACTCAACCCTATCTCCCAAGCCAGCCAGTCACAACATCGTGAATTCCTCAGGGAGGTGCCAGCCTCATCCTCTTGCACTTCTCACGCTCTCGCAGTGAACTAAGAACACGCTTATCTCCCTGAGCCTGGCCGCCATAATTCCATTCCATCCCAAGCTTCTAGCTTATTCTATTGCACACCCTAAGCATGGCTTTGGCTTTCACTACTAATATTGCAACCCTTCCAGCTATCTTTGGGACTTCTCCAACAAAGCAAAGCTCTCCGAGCCTCAAATCCTGGTTTCAAGGCAGCTGAAGCAGAGGCTATCATCAGGTATTCTGCTTCTCTTTTGGGAAAAAGGTTGGGGTTAGGGTCCTCACGTCTAGGTCCAGCTTACCAAGAGATTGTAGAACTTGACTTCGATTCCCATGGAGTGAGCCAAGGTTTTATAAAGGGAGAAGCCAGGGCGTGGCACCAGAATGTTCTGTCCAGGGTTAGCCAGGACTGCTAAAGCTAATTCAATGGCCTGACTGCAGCCACTGGTCAGGATTACATCCTGCAAGGAGAGAGAGAGAGATTGCTGTGAGCTGAATGGGCACTTAATGGCTTTCAGCCTTGGTTCTACAAACCCACAGCAAAGACAGATCTGAGCCACAGGAATCCTAAATGCTACAGATTATCACATACTTGGAATTAGGTGAGGAGTCAAAACCCGACCCCCCTCCCCAAATATGTTCTTACTCCTTCTCAACATGCAGTATCAGTGCTGTTACCTGGGCTTTCAGGGGTGCTTCTGGACAATTGTAGTAGGCTGCAACCACCTCTCGACAAGACAGGTAACCTGGGATGGGTGGGAGGTGAGGTGAAGTGAGTGTTCAGTGCTATGGCTGAATTAAAAAGACCTCTGAAATGGAATCTTCCTGAACTCTAGTCTTGTATCTTAGAAGGTTTGCCCACGAGAAGCCTGCACAGGATGTTATTTAGCCCCCCACCCCCAGATCCTTTTGCCAAGGATTCCCCAAAACTGGTCAAATACTCTGGGACTTTCAGCTCACACAGCAGAAGCACTCCCCTTTGACCCATTTCCCTATCGCAGGCCAAAAATACCTTCTGTGGACCTCAAGGCCACTGCATGCTAATGGTATCCCGCTCCCTTGCCTTGGCTTTTTCCACAGAGCTCAGGGACTCACCCACAGATGGGGCATAACCGTTGTATTTTCCTGAGTCTAGTGCTTCCTTCATGGCCCTTGTGACTTCATCATCTGTAGGAAGATTCCCAAAGACAGTTGGGTCCCCTGCAGAAAAATAGAGGGTAGGTATGTTCAGCTTGTTGGTGGTTGGATGGTGTCAAAAAGGGTCAGTCTCTCTGGCCCACCCTGATCCATCTACTCACCTATAGACAAAGATATCAGAGCCTTCCTGGGGTTGGGCTCCACTTTCATGGCATCTACAATGGCTCGAATGGGGTTGAAAGTCCTTCTAGACATTTCTGAAGCCCTGACTGCCCAGTGGGGCTTGCGGCCTTTTCCCTTGGGCAAAGAAGGGCCTTTTCCATTGAGGTTGACATGGACATCTAGGATGGAGGTTAGGGCAGTATTGCTGTTCACCTGGATCAGGCAGGAATCCATCTTGGGAGGGGAGATCCTGCAGAGGACACAGAACAAGGCTGGAGCCAATCCCAAGGCTGTCCCTGCACACACCATCTACTATTGAAACTCACCAGACAGTCTGTCCAAGCAACACAGGGATGAGGGCAGGGGGACATGTAGACTGCTGCCTGGGGTGATGCCAGCAGGCTCCCTCTTGTGCTTGCACAGGTACCAGTTTAACAACTACAGCACAACCAGGGAGAGAACGGCATTGCAACACAGCAGAGTTTTCTGGCCTGCTGGAAAAATGCAGCTTCCTCATGAACCTCTCCTGCCCCTTCCCCTCCTCACCCTGGGAGTGTGCACTTAGGCCTGTGAAAAGGTGGGCCTTTGTGCAGAGGATAATCCAAGTTCACATTTAAAAGGCTGTCAGGAAAGCAACAACTCCCCTCACACACTTAGGAGATAAAAACCCATTACAAAAAAACTGATCAAGCACATGAACCCATTTGTTCTTCCATTGGTTAGAATAAAGTCAGTTGGTATCCAGATACAGATGAGCAACAACAGAAAATTTGCAAAGTGAGTATGTATCAGCTGTGTGATGAAGCTGCAAAGACATTTTAGGTTGTCTCCTATAGTTTTCAAACTGTTAGAAGGATTTGCTCCACTTCATTTTGCACAGGTCACACCCTGCCTTCAGTCTCGGTTGCAGTGCTTTAAGGAGGTTTCAGAGAAATTGAAACAGGTTCAGAGGACAAGAGAGTGATCAGGGGACAGGAAAAGGGAATGAAGGACCTTAACATGTTTAACCTTGAGAAAAGATGGGGGGACCAATGTAAGAACTCCCCCCAGTTTATTAAAGAATGTAATGCAGAAAAAGGTCAAGACCTGTTGTCTCCTGTTCCAGAGGACAAGACATGAAATAATGGATTTAAGTTACAGGAAGGCACATTTGAATTGAATGTTAGCAAAATCTTCCTAACAAACTGAAAAAGTTTGACTGAGGAAACTATTGCCCAGAGTAAATGTGGCCAGTTAAGACATCCAGTATTCTCAAGTGGTACTTTCATTTGGAGCTGCCAGTCAAGAAGACTTCTGGAAGTCTTCGCCGGTCTGTAGGCCAGTTCCTTGGTCCAAAGGCCAGGCACCGTCCAGTGGCCTCTTGTTCATTTGTCCCCCTTTCAGGGTTCCCAAGCACTGTACCAGTGCAAGGCCAGGTCACCCCCAACAGGTCTTCACTAGAGAGGGCATGCTGGTAGGGGGAAGGTTAGGAAGAGTACAGAGAACACCAAACTCTGCCCAAATTCTGGAATTACCCTTGGCTAAAGTTACTCACAGAGCCTCTTGGCTCATGGACCTCAGGGGTTGGTGGCTTACCTGAGACACCCAAAGATGTGGCTGCAGCTCAGTGTGATGAAGATGGGTTGAGGAGTTTCCAATGTGGCTGAACAGAAAGGCAGAGCCAGAATGCTAGAACAGAAGTCCTTTTATGCATGGCAAGCCTGCAGGAGCCAAAGCCAAGAACAGGGTGTCAGCCTGGAGTCCTCCAGCTATTGGCTGATGGGGAGGGCTGTACTTCCCACCCAGGGACACCCCCAACTCTGACTCCATCTGGCTCCAAACATCTGGAACAAACACTGGCTGCATGTTAACTCTTTCAGAGAAGGGCCAAAGTTGTCTGCTGGAACCACATCATTCCCCCTTCCAGAGCTGACCACTCAATCTGGGTAGAATTCTCCTTGGCTTGGTCCCGGCACCTAAGGTCCTTCTGGCTCCCAGTATCAGGAAAAGTCACCAGCCCAACTGTAACTCCCATGAAGTGTGTGTGCCTTCAGAATCTAGCCAAAGACGCATGCAACACACTACTGTAATGATGGGAGTGAAACCCAAAGGGTTAACTTCAGGCATGGTCCAAGGCTTTGCCTGGCATTTAAGGGCGCCTGATGCAATCCATGAGGCCCACCTCATCAGTTCCACGTTGCAAAACACAGTAATTAATCCCAAATGCTATAAGCACCAGCTGGGGATGGGAAGACATTACACATCATCAACATGTCTACCCTCTCCTCCAACCATTAGCCAACCCACTTTATCAACCACCACTACTCTTGCGATATCTAAAGGGGAAAGGGATTCCATAGTTCTCCAGGATTCTGCTTTGTGTGGCACAGAGGAAATCCACAAGAAATCAATGGCTGAGTTTGGTCCTTCATTGAATCCTGGCAATTTGCAAAGGTGGCAGCTGTCTTGACAGGGCAAGAGAAGGTCCCTGTCTGTTTTCCTCTAAAGTACCTTCTTTCATGAATCTTGGTGGACACTGAGAGTAAATGTTTCTGTGCCAGAGTTTCCAGACCCTCAGCCGCTCAAGAAGGAGCCAATACTGAAGAACAGAGGAAAGAAAGGGAGGGTTGGGGGGTTGCCCCATTAATACCTCTCCTTCCCCTTTAACTCTCCCCCACTCTGCCTATGGCAGAACCTGGGCAGTGCTCCTTGGACAACCTCTAAGGACAGCTGTCTATTTCTCTGCCTTTCTCAAGCGTTGTGGAGGTCAAAGAGGTCTCCCTCCAGAATTCCACACTCCGACAGACAGAGATCCTGCAACCCTTAGAAGATGTCATGCCCCTCCCCCAGATGGGCAACCAGGATCTGTCCACCACCATGCCCACCAAAGAAATAGCTCAGGCTTGAATCTGCTTGATGGAGGGGTCAGCAAGCCCTTGATAAAGCCATCTTTGCTCATTATTCTAACTTGCACATGAGAATATTCACAGGTTTCTGGTGCTGCTTCTGCAAGACTCATGTCAAGCAGTGGGAGGAACACAGGCGACATGCTCCCCAGCCCCCTTTTAACACCCAGTCCTCTTATTTCAGCTATGTCCTGCACATCCACCTTGCCTCCTACAACCTGGCCGCTTTGCTTTATCTGGGAGATAACCGCAGGAACTGCCTTGGTGAGATAGTTGTGTCCATAGGCCCAAAATGGTAGAGGTAGTAGGAGGGAAGTAAATGGGGACAGTAACAGGCAAAGTCATGGTCTCCACCTGGTTCAGCTTCCCTTCCCCCCACACCTGCTGTTTATTAAACAATTACAAACCCATATTTATGTGTTTCTGCAAGCATTCCTATCCTGGTTTGGACAATCCTTCTGTGCCAAGTTTTCAGCCTCTATTATTGTTCTGAACTTCTCAGCCCCCATAGAACCTAAGGAGAGCTACTTTGCCTGAGAGAGGATGCCCTCCACGTTCCATCTTCAAGATGATTCTGATCCTCCTACCCTGCTCTTTTCCAGCTCCAGGTCAGCAAGGAAAGAAAAAGATTTCTGCTTGCAGAACCAAAAGCTGCTGGACTTATGGCAGAACCTAGGCAGTGCTCCACCAACCTCCAAGGACAGTTGTCCATTTCCCTGCCCTTTGCAAGCCTTGTGGAGGTCTCCCTCCAGAATTCCACACTCTGGAGGAAGATGGAGGTCTTGCAACCCTTGGAGGAAGTCATGCCCCTCCCTCAGATAGGCCAGGACACAAGAACAAGGTAGTGGCCTCCACCAACTCCTGGCACACCATTATCTATCTTTTTTCCTTATTTTCTCATTGAGTAGCTTTCATTCCCCCCTAGCTGGTTGAATGCCTCCTCCACACCTAGTTCCTGGCCACCCATCAAGCTGTACCAATACAAATCTTATTTGTGTCCATCAGCAGCTCCAGACACCCACCCAATGCTTTGTGTAGGAGGAGCAGGAGGACAGCAGGAGACTCTCCATAGCAAGTGGCTGAGTCATAGGAAGGAGGGAGTGCGGACAGGCGAAAGCCCCTTCTACCTCCGCCTCCTTCTCCTCCTGTGCCAAATCCCTCTTTGAAGCAAAAGTCAATATTGGCTAATTTCATCACTGGCATTTGACATGTGCTTTCCTATTCCTGTTCACTTGCACAGCCTGTTGTCTGTGGCCTCTTCTCCTCCATGGCCTTGAAGCCCCTGGGGGCTAAGCAAACAATAGACACTGGAGGCCTCTCTGTTGACTTCAGCTGCAGGCCTGCTCTGAGAGGCCAACTCTTGATCAGGATAACGCTTGCACCCTTGTCAGAGAAGAGCTGGCACCTGAAGCAGTCTCCGAAGGGACCAGCTTTCTGCCACTCCTCCAGTTGCACATTGGCTAGGAGGTTCTACAGGTGGCAGCAGCAGCCACCCACTGGCCAAGAGTTTCTCTGTACTATCAGTGAAATTTCCACATTCCTTCTCAGACCCAACATCACCACAACTCTGAAGCCAAGAGGAGTGGTGGGCATCAACCCATGGGCAGGAATGAACCACTTAAGACAAGCTCTCAAGAATTCCACAGACAAGTAAGGATATTAGAAAGCCGTAGACAAAGAACTTAAGCAGCTGGCATGATTTAAGAACAAGTCTGACGTGTGAAAAGAAGGGTCAAACCCTCTTCTATGTAGTTTTCTTCCCACCCTACTTGGCCCCCTGTTTTGGGTGGTCTGTTTTGGCTCCACCTGAACTTTGATTTTGTAACCATTAGATCTGTTATCATTTTGTTTTTCCCTGCCTGTGTGAGAACTCTCACACGTCTCTTAAAAAACAGCTGGCAAGACATCTATGTGCTGTGATAGGCAGGAGATGTCAAAGCACTGTGAAAATACAAGAAAAATAAAATCTAGGTGATTAACCCTATACATACACAGTACCTGTTATACTCTGAAAAAATATAAAAAGTCGATGTAAGTTGACTTACTTTTGCGGAACTTTTGCAGATCAAGTCTTCTTTAGCAGGACTTGTTTGCCTTATGCTTGATAATTTTGGCTCTAAAATGCTTTTTTCCAGTTCACCTACAGAAGGAAAGATAGATGGTGACTATTTTCTGCTAAAGGTGAGCAGAGAGAAACAGGGAAGAGAAAGGAAGCAACCCCAGAGAGTATTCAGAGAAGAGGAAGGGGAATGGCTCCCAGGATGCTGGGAAAAGCCACCGGTGGGTTGATAGCACAAGCGGAGGCACAATGGGGGCCAGAAGAAAGCAGAGAACGCATGGAGATCAGGACTTTCAGCTCACAGCCCCCAGCCCCCGTAACCCCCCGTTGTTCGGCTGGCAAGGGGCCGGATGTCTCAGCCCGAGGTACTCCCCAGTCCTTGACGGGAAGCAGAGGGATGCTGGAAATATTTGTGCCTGCAGCAGCCGCCAAGAACAAAAGCTATTATCTGCTTGACAAGTATTCAATATATTTTCATGAAAAGACAATGCAGATTTGAAAAACATTGTATGGTTTCCATCTAACAGATTTTATTAAAAAGCACACGCTTTTGTGAGCTGCAGACTCCTTCTGATTTTTTCCCACCATAGTCTAACACCACTCTTTTCCTACAAGGCACAACACACAAAGCCCAAAGCAAACAAACAATGTTGCAGTTAACATGTTGCGTGAATCACACAAATGTCCCCTTTTTCAAACATTGTCTAAACATCTGGTTCTCTGATTAAAATCAGAGCAATTTTTATTCATTTCCTCAAAATTCTGTTTATAAAATAAAAACTATATTTCAAATTCATTAAACTTGATAGGCAGGGACCACTGGGTGACTCCAGAAACATCCCAAGTTTGACGATTGTTGGTTCAACTTTGGCCAAATAGAAAACTTTGAAACCCCTTGCTTTCCTCTAGCAGGCAATTGACTTTGGGGGGGAATGGAAGGACAAATATTTCTGGTTTGGGCGAGTTATCCTTGCCAAAATGCTGGAGTGATTCCAGCTACACCTTTTCTAAAACCAAAATAAGTTCAGAAACAATAAAATTGCTATTTCAGGAATACCCACTATTTTATAGAACACCAAATCTGCTTCTTCATCCATTTAGTTCAAGAATGGAAGAATCTCTCCTTTCCTTATCTGTTTTCTAGATTTCACTGGCAAGCTTGTGGATCTTAACTCCTACAGTGAACTGCACAATCCCTGTAAAAAACTGTTGGGCTTGGACTTCCCTGCTTATATGTGCAGCCCACCGCAAATTCTAAGTTCACCATTGCTCTCTCTTCTCCCCATAGAGGCTCTATGCCCAACAACTGGATGTTTTAAAACTCCCAGAAATAGGGGCAGTTGAATCACACCTCTGAGCTTGAAGATAACCTTGTAAGCAACCAAGGAGACACAGAAGTAGGAAGCAGCAACCCCAGATTTCACAAAGTGGGTGAAGTAAACCTCCAAGACCACATATGGGTGTAAGCAGTCATCCCTACATTGGTGTGGAGGGACCTTGGAATGTCATCAAAACAAGGCATTGGAAGGTGGGTCCAGTCCCCATAAAGAAAGTGTTGGCATGACAACCTGAACCAGACATCTGCATTTGTCATGCAAACCAAGCCTGTCTGGTGACTATACTGAGTTGATTGTGTAAAGCACAATTAAATTAACTGAGAGTTGTCTGCAAACATAGCTTGTGGGACAGAACAGTAATAAAGCAAGCATAAAATTAAAATTTTAATAAAATTTTGGTAGCATAAAATTATCTACTCCAGAAGTGATGGGGAATGAAGAAATGGTTGGTCTAAGTGCATGTAGAGGACTTTCCCCTCAATATTCCAAATATTTAAGACTAGATACCTGGCATTCCATATTACTCTGAGCCATAGTTTAGATTTTTTAAACATAATTTTGTCAGATTTGGGGCAACTTACCCTTTGGTGCTTACTCCTCTTGCTTATAATAATGCCTGATTTGTGAGAATCAGCGTGGAAAACACTGATTTATATTGCTGCACTACACTAGGGTATTATTCCTACCCCTGGCTTAGGGTTCAGTTCTAAAAACAGTGACACACACATTCTCATTCCATTATTGTTTATCAAAACTTCTCCTGCCTTATCTGCTGCAGAACATGCCCGCAGAGGCTTACAATCACCATAATAAAATGATCCATCAAAGAAAGCAGCAAGAAAAGAAACTTGGAGAAATATAGTCTCTGGCTTTTAACCTGCTGCTAAACTAGTGGTTGAACTGGGGTCTTACTGACCTGCTTCTATATTGTCAATATAATTTCATATTTTTATCTTATCATCTTGCTGTTAACTTCTATGAGCACTGTTTAATTAAATATAAAATCCCTGTAAATACTGTATAATTCTACCAGAAGAAAAAGCATAGCTAGGATTCACATCCCAGAGACTTATGATTATTTTTTAATGAAAATTGTCAATTAATATAAAGGAGCTTTTCACAATTCTATTAAACAGACCTACTTGGGTATCTGGAATTAACCACCCACGTAATCTGTGATACACAAGACCATGGAGAATAACAGGAGACCACCAAACTCTCTGAAGGAACTGACTGCACCTGTTGGGATGACAGTGCAAATGTTGACAGAACCCTCCAGCTACATCCAAAGTGCACTAAATCCTCGAGGTAACAGACCTCACATTTAGTGGACTATGGGAATGGTGGACAGCATGTCTGTATACCATATGCTTCTGCCCATGGGTAAAATAGCATTTCCATTTTATGCATGCCTAAAATCTACACAGAACACGCAGATAAAAACCCATTTGGAGTGAACACTGTTTAATGGCCACCTCGTCCTCCCGTTAGTCTATTAAAACAAGGTTTGCCATATTAACGCAGAAGATCTGACTCTTATGTGAAGCTTACTCTGCCTTACAACTCTGGCATCCAGGTGGAAAGGAAACACCAGAAATTATACTGAACCGAGGAAACTCCTCAGTTCTTCTGAACTACAGCTTCTGAACTACAACTGTCATAATAATAATAAAGACCAGGCAAGTCTCATTATCAGAAAATATTTAGTTTAAGGTGAGAAAATAGGACAGTTCCAAATTCCACTCAAGGTTCAAAATCAGAGAACTGGAAAGTAAAATACTATTTTGCATGCCACGTAAGATATAAATGTTGTGATCAGAGCCAAATGCTGGTATGGATTTACTAATCAGATTTCTTCAGGCAAATATTCAAAAGGCGCAGCTTCCACAATTACTTGAATAGAGTGTCTTCTGAGCTGTTTTTTGGTTTTACTTTTCCTGATGAAGAGTTCTGGATAATTCAAAGGCCATGCCTAATTTCATGGCATTTTGGTCTTAGTAAAGATATTGCCAAAGTGATCGTCAACAGAAGACGACAAGCACTGGCTTGGAAGCCAACCTTTTGTGGCCTCTGAGTGAGCTGATTTCAAAAGACTGAGATCTGTGTCCCAGTATGGTCTACCTAAGAGCCAGTTAGATCATTAACTATTTCTGAAAATAGACACACTCCATCAGCTTTTAGGATGAAAAAGGTAGGCCCTCTCCACCTTCAAAGAACAGCCAATAACCACAGGGGAAGCCTTGTTAAAACCTGACATGAAATTGTTCCCATGACTTTCTCTACAGTTAATACATAGGTGGAAATTCATTACTATAGTACTGGTTATTTTAAGAGGATACTTCCTTTCCTCTGCTGGGGAGGATGCAAAGAATAAAGCTTCCCATGGGGTGGACTTCATAAATCTTTTGGGGAACAAATGTCAGTTATTCTTTCTGGATATGATTCAACATCCTATTCAACTCAACTTGACTTAGTTCTCAGAATTAAAAGTCTTGAGACTGATTCTTCTACAAGGACATTATTTTTTTTTTTTTTACTGACAGCAATTAAAACATTGGCTAAGCACTGGACAATGCCATTAGATTATATAGCGCAGAACTAGTTCTTGAGAATTTGACACACAATGTATGCTGAAACATGACTATTGCACTGGAGAAAATTGAAAACAGAGTAGCAAAACAGGACTGTTTATTGGAAATAGGGTTCCTGGCTATTTTATACATATTAAACAATAACATCATTTCCTACATACACAATGAGGGCTTTTTTTTAGTTTCACCCTCCATTATCCCATTGGAAACAGATTCTCTCTTCTAACTTGCAGGGATGGAGATGTATCAACTTTTTTGGAAAATGTATAATATCTGCTCTCTTAGACATTTTTCTTGCTTTGTCATGCATATAACTATAAAAGAAAATGTAACAAAAATAAGATACCTGTGCTTAGCTGAACAAAGAGAAATGAAGGATACATGATGTACTTAATATTTCAAAGTATTAGTAGCAGAGTAACAAGGCCAAAAAAGAGAGACCTGAGGAGAACCAATCAACTTGGGCATGAGCCATGTAAACAGCTCTGAGACATCTCTGGCTCATGGATTTATGATACTGTCTTGACAAAACGTAACATAGCGTTGCCTCATGATAGCCTAAACTGATCTTGATAGAAGCTGACAATTGACCAATGTGAATTTTGGGAACAGTATTCTAATTTATTTCAACAGTGAAATGTAGGTATCCAAACGCTCTGATGAATTGTCGTCAGAGCTGTGTCATATTAAGGAAGGTTCACCCATGCCCCGCTCAGCCTGACTTATCTGATTGTGCTTGGAACAGCAAACATCCCAGGGACTTCCTCATTTGCCATCAGCTGAGTTCTCCTAGGCCTCTCCTCCCTCCCAGCTGGGGCAACGATGTCATTTCAGACTAGAGCTTGTCAAGGAAGGCCCCTTGGAGGGCTGGATCTGGCCACAGCTCACTGAGTCCAGGATTCAGAGATGACTAAGTAAATGCATCTGGGAGGGGGCGAGGGGCAAAACAAGGACTCTTTTATTGATCAACTTTACACCTACTGCAATCGACCAGGCTGTTGAAGGTTGCAGTAATCAATACAGCATCAATACACGCAATGCAATGAAAATTTTAGTGAAACTAAAAAGACACCGAGAACCATACAACTATAAACATGAGGCGTCTTTTTGTTGCTGCCACCCCCCTGCTATGGAAGAAATCAGCATC